CCGGTCCCTGCAGCTCCACCGGGTGGAGCGCGACCAATTCAGGCAGCGCCCGGCGTTGCCACACCTGGCCCGCCGACACCTGTGCCCAGGCGGAGTGCACGGCAGAGGAGACCACCTGACCGCTACTCGCCGGGGTGACCTTCATCTTCGACAGGCCGGGACTTTGCATGACCAGACGCCGAGATTGTGTCGGCCGTGCGAGTCGTGTATTTAGTTATTTTGTTTTCAGGAAAAACAAACTGGGGGGGGGGGGGGGGGGGAGTGTGACAAGTTAGTGGCGCCCCCCTCCAGTCCGCCCGTCTGCGGCCGTTAGGCTCGGCGGGCAACAATGATCACCTCGCCCAATAAACGCCGTTGAGCGTACGCCGCTCCGGCCAGTCATCGTCCACCCTCACAACCAGGCTGCGTGTCGTCTCTTCTCGGCGGGCGCTTCGGCCCCCTTCGTCCACGTTCGAGAAAGATCGTGACAAGCAGCTTTTGCTTAGTTTAGTTTTGAGACTGCCGGGCCACGTCATACAAGCCTCATGGGCTTTCACGGACCCGAACTTTGTAAAACGAAAAGAAAACAATAAATTATAATTAGTAATTATTATCATTATTATTATTATTATTATTATTATTATTATTATTATTATTATATTATTATTATTGTTATTATAAAGGTATGGGCTTCAAAATTTAATTAATAATTATACAAGAGAGGAGTACCTGGGAAACAAAGTGACAAGATCGTGCACTGATCATGTTATTGTACGTTCGTGTAATTTAGGCTTTTTTAGCAGGAGTAATAAGACAAAAAGTGACAGACCATTATTTCATTGTGCTCAGGATTATGGGTGAAGACCCTAAAATCAAAACAAACAAACAGGTACATAAACAGGTTCTAGACAATAGTAAAAAGGATGACAAGGTGAAAAAATTCAACTGGAACTCTGTTGCATCTTGATCATGTCATCCTATATGAAATGGTGGTTGAGAAGTTAAATGATTTATACGAGAACTCGAAAAGAACGATAAAACTGACAAAAAGAAACCTTAGCAACAATTGGATAGACCAAGAAATATTAGAATTAAGTTCTGAAAAAAATAAATTATGGAATAGATGCAAACGAACTCTCTATGATGCAAACATTAAAGGAAGAACTCAGACAACTACAAAACAACGTGATTGCCAAAATTAGACTGGCTAAAAAAAGGTTCCATACGACGAAACTCAAGAGGTGTCGGACAAACTTACGGCAAACGTTGAATACACTTTTCCAAATAATCGGACAACTCCCTAAGGACAGCATAAATGAATGCCTAAACAAAAGGTTTGGGGCAAATATCGGGAATACGCTAAGCAACGAGTTCAATAATACATGTGTCAAGCAGGTACAAGAGCTACGGAACCAAACAAGCAACTCTGCAGAAAAACCAAAGCTATTCTCCGAATTCTGCGTAGCTGCCAGAAATGACAATTTCGGAACTAAGGGATATAGTTAACAGTATGTCTTTAACAATGCCAGCCGGGAACGATCGCATAAGGGTAAGAGATATAAAAATGAACTTTAGCTGCTTAAAATATGTTTTGCTTGCCATATTAAATGGCGCTCTGGCTACAGGAAATATACCTAATAAGCTAAAGGTATCGGTTGTTAGGCCTATATAAAAGAAGGAGAATAAAAAAACGACTATCCAATTATAGGCCCATCGCGTTGCTACCTGTCATCTCGCAGATCATGGAAAATTTTGTCTTAAAAATAATGTCTCCCTTTTGCGAAGAGTATTTATTAATTGGCAACAGTCCGTACGGCTTCAGACAACAAAGAGCACCACGATGTTACTCGATGATATAACGGATTTTATGAATGAAAAACATAGACAAGAACCAAATAGTACCTGCACTGCTTTTAGATTTGACGAAAACCTTCGATACAATTGACCGCACTATATTGCTAGATAAACTGGAAAGAATCGGATTCCGAGGGCCGTTTCTCAGGTTGTTTCGAAGCTACTTTTCCAACAGAACGCAGAAAGTCAGATTTGGGGATGATACAAGTGACGCCTTGTACTTCAACTACGGTGTACCCGAACACTCGGTGTTGGGCCCTATGCTTTTTATTGTATGTGTTAATGATCTCGTCTTGCTGCCCTTAAAGTCCAACATTTATCTGTACGCTGATGATACAGCTTTATTCTTGGCGGATGAAAATTACTTTACTGCGGTCTCAACTCTACAGGAGGATATAAAACAAATAAAGATTTGGTTTTCAAAAAATGGTATTTTTGTGCACAACGAAAAAACGCATTTGATGTGCTTTAGACCTCATCAAATACGCGTTAACCTTACAGAGACTGTTTACTTCCATTTAACGATACGTAGACAGTGGTGTTGTTTACCACTACCCAACGTTACGGAAACAAAGTACTTGGGTCTATATTTTGACGAGTTCTTGACATGGAATTTACATGTCGATTATTTACTTAAGAATTTCCGGATGATTTAATTGTACCTTCATAAACTAAGAAGTTGTGGAGATATCAACTGAAGACGAATGATTTTCCAGACGCTAAAAGAATCTAAACTAAGGTAGGGGATAACAATTTACGCATTCTGCTGAAAATACAAAGGAAAAAAATAGATAACTAATTAAAAGGATGATAAAAAAAATATTACGTACGGCACACACGTTGATCATCTAAGCTTTGAAGAGCAGCTGACCGACCTGGACCTGTTGGCCATTCATAACCTACGTAGGTTCGAGGGCCACACAAAATATTATTTCTCGTGTGATTTCAGAGTACAATTCGCTAAACCAAAAAGTCTTACGCACACAGAACGGTCTGACGTTCCAAGGCTATACACCAATTATGAAAAAAAAATGCAGAAGTATTACATTCTTACATATTTCAATGATCTTCTAAAGAATTTATTCGATCTCTCGTCCTTAACAGAGGTGAGAAAATAATTAAGTAAATGGTTCGACCTCGTGCGGAAGTAAAATTGAGTGTAAATGCTTATTTACACGATGCATGTTTTCAACGCGCCACACTCTAGCGAATACAAGATTTCCCGAAATCGGCCGGTTCACACGTGTAGTATGACGCGGGAAACCTGTGACGTATTGATTCACGAGAATTTCGCCGAACCTTGTCATCTGCACCGGGAATACCAAGCGTTTCGCATCAAAATTATATGAAGTACGCACAGTTTGAAGAGACAGCCTGGTTTATTAATACCACTTAATGAACTTCGTCCTGCCAAACCCGGGAAAGAACGCCAACGTCAAAGAACAGGCGGATGATCTCGAAGAATTTTGGACATTTCGCACCGCTAATAAAGAAAGTTATTCCCAGCCACCATGCGGTGCTTGCACTCGTCGCGACTGTTGTTGAATCTGCACCGCGCCACCAACCCGCCGATCACACTAGGACTAAGACTCATCACCCGTACGCACCGTTTCTCCGCCTGTCGCTCGTCATGTTTGTTTGTTTACTTTCGGCTTTGATCCGGATACGGAATCGGCCAAAAATCAGACTCCTCCAAAAGCTCGCTCCTCCTCGAAGGTCAGACGCCATAGCGAAGTCGAGCGGCCATTTGCAGCGTCCGCGTTTCTCCTTCGGGTGATTGACAGGCGTCGGTGAGGTTTCAGCGAAAAATTGCTCCAGAAGCGAGGAACACGTGCCACTTTTTTCGGAGGCGCGCCACGTTTTCGGTCGCGTTCAGGCGGGGAATCTGTTTCCCGAAACCTAGTTTTGCGACACAAGATTCGCCAATAAGATGCAGCGTGTGAATAGACCTTTAATGTTTTTTGGACCTATACGTTTCAATGTTTACATCGAAGTGGTAAATTTCTGTTCTATTTGTGTTCAAAATATTTTCTTACTATTGCAAACATATCATGGATCGAGAAGAAAGGGGAAAATGTATTTTGTTGTTTCTTTTTGCTCTGTTAACAAACCCATTGTGTTCTCCTAGGTATACCGAACGTTGTGCGAAGTAAAATGAAAATCATATGATTGTATAAGGCAAATAGAATCGGCAGTTTTTTTTTTCTTTGACCGTAATTGAAAAGCGTATGACGTCCTCGATTTAATCTATATGCTTTTATTTCGCGGAAAGGTGCAATGATGATATAGAACTAAGTTTGTAACATGTGGTGTCAAAATTGAGGTTTGTTTATTTTACGCTTGTTTGTCTCTGTTTTTTTTTTTTCTTTTTAATTTGCGTTTCTTTTATAGACTACCTGTTCTCACACACAAGCACGCAAGTGCTTTCGTGAGGCAGTAATCGATGTATGTGAATGATTGTGTGCTAATAAAACTACTATTTTTATCATTATTATATCTGGCATTATGAGGTTACATCTGGCAAATACACCATATCAGGTTATATGTGCCCAATTTTCGATATGTGCCATATCTGAAATATTTATATCTGGCCAGAAGTAATTTTTTTGTAAGGGTTGGCGCTCTGCTGTATCTGGGAACAGGCCTTTATGAGACCCATTTCCGAACAACGAGCGCTCACGCTGGAAGGGCGCGGTTCAGCGCAAGAAACAGACAATAGATCATGTTGCTGAAGCATTATTTGCTTATAGCCTTCGCTGCACTCTCAGATAGACGAAGATAACGTTGCCTCGTTTACAACAAGGCAGTGTTGTATTAGAAAATACAGTTTAGGAATTTTAGCTGTAACGGCGTGGGCCTCCAAATTCACGTGGATTGGAAGCCCACCCTCTCCTCTGATATATTGACAACTTCCTTACTTTGTCCCCTTTTGTTTCTACCTCTGAAAACTCCCTCGCTGATCACAGACAAAAACAGGTTCGTTTAATCGACCCGCCGGTTGCAATATCGCACATGCACAAAGCAGTCGGCGTATAGCCTGTGTTGCATGGCGGCTCCACTAACTGCCCCGACTGCGGCCGTTGGCGGCGCTTCTGTGGTGGACCGTCGCGCCCCCTGTAGATCCCGAACGGTTCTTTTAGGTTGCTAGAGAGACAGGAGTATAACCATAGATTTTTCAATTTAATTTTTATTGTGGTTGACAAAATCCGGACTTTTAACATGTCTACAAACAAACACACGCGATGACTTGAGCAATATATGTATATACAGTCTAATATGTGCAATTTGAATGTGTACTACACATGTCATTTACATGAGTTCTAAATAAATTAGGACTACTATTAAGCATAAAAGTACTAGAACGTCCCTAAAATCATGCCCTGAGTTAAAACTTTAGACGCCGAGTAAAACTTAACGGTGCTCGGTCGCACACGGTCATAACAAAGATCATGAAAACACAGAAAATTATGCTGTCGTAAAAGCGCGATTAGCACGCTCTAGACTGCGAATCCGGCACTTCATATCAACATTCGACGAGTATCCTTCTTAATTTATACAAATCGAGTCCAGAATGCTTGAAGACGTGTTGACTTTTCTCGTAGCCTGCTTCGACAGCTTCGTGACTCCGACTGCAGATCATTCTATCATGCTTCCTGCAAGAAGGAAGGAAGGAACCCCTTTAGTTGTCATCCCATTTTGCGGTTGACCCAAAAGACATAGAGTAGCGTGTCTAAATAATGAATGATTTGTTTATTTATTCAGATATTGCGTTTTATTTATTAATAAATTAATTCGTTCAGTAATGTAAACATTCTTTGATTAAACGATTGATAAATTTTACAATACTGCAGGCTCTGTTACGGCACTAGCAGAAGTGGCTACAAGGTACAATGGCACAGACACAATCATCCGTAAACACGCACAATATTCGAAATAATTACTGAAATTATCTTAAGTTTTGTATAAACTTCTTCAGGTGTTTTGAGCCATGAACGGTGAATTTCGATAAGTAGTCGAATTTTATTATTTTTCTTGGAAAATATTAGTTTTGAAAAACATTGTAGGTGCTTTCGTTCGGCTGTAAAAGCCTTCCATTATTAAAGGTGTATTGCGACGTGAGTCTCTTTTCAGGTAAGGCGGTGAAACCAAGCTTAATGGGACCATGAAGCGATTTCGAAGTAAAATTTCATCCAAAGCACGTCGTAAGAAGAGTGAATATATAACTCAAACACAAAACTAGAGAGACAAAAATTTTGCTATAGAACTTTCAGAAGAAAAACAAACTCTTTTATATTTTCTTTCCTTCGAAAGAGCTCTGCCTTTTCACTGCTATGCATCCACGGTGCTAAAGCACATCAGCCAAATGTACGTCCCCTATTGGAGAAGAGCCTACCTCGCCAGCACCGCGATCATAAGAAATAAATATCCGGCGAATGTTTCTTAAACATTTTGTTAAAGAATATTTTGATGCACATTTTTTAAAATAATTAGCAATGTGACGGAAATTACCGAATAATATAGTGTTCGGAGCTATGCGCCATCTATCGTGAGGTAAGAGAAAGATAAGACTGTGCATGCCCTGTTTCGTGGTTCCTGTTATCTGCTGAAAAACATGGAGTCCGTTGTGATTGTTGACGTGGTCGGCGCGGTGGAAGCTCATTGTTCCGCGTGGAGCGCTATTCTTGACTGAATTCTCGTTGCCTGTCGCGATGATAACCCAGCATGTTATAGAAGGGAAGATCCATCTGTTCGCGCGGCGATGTTGTGGCGGCATCCTCAAGACAGCAGAAACACCTGTGCCGTTGTGTTTTTTTACTTTGACTATAGTGGTGCTTTCTTAGGATGTGTGCCCTCGAACATCGCCCGGTTTTCTTATTTTGCGCATTCCATGCGTGGGCTCAAGTTCAAGGTATTACTGGTTCGTACTGTATTTAAAGGCGTGTATGAAGGATGCGAACTTTTTACGCGTTTTGATAACACGAGAAAAATGATTAGTGTTAGCATTCCTGAACGCTCGCAATGCCTATTTGATCAAGCAATTGTATTTCTACTTTGCTATATTTTTTAATCGTAGGAAAGGCGTGTGGCGAGATTTTTACTATTTGTAAAGTCGTGATCGTCGAAGATGGCGTAGTACATCCTTTTCTCTTATGCTTGTTTCATTCACTATCCCCTGCGAGCCTATACTGACAAAATAAAAGTTCATAAAGCTTGAGCCCATAAACAACTCTCCATTTTCTGCTACGCCTCGGAGTAGCAGCGCGTCCCATTCTTTTTAAAAATACCGCGGAAACCTCTGACGGCGGCGGAGAAGCGGCCGTTGTTCTGACGACCTGCTGCGCTTGTTGCGGTGGTTGCGGGAGTGTGTCCGCGTGGCGCAGAGCGGTTGTTCCAGTCGCCCTGGTCACAACGAACGCATTCACAGCTAACATGCTCGTTGCAAGTCCCCGAATTACAGGTTGTGCATTCCGGAGTTTAGAAAGAAACTGCTGCAGTTTCACCGCTTGCAACGCGAGGAACCACGTCGAAGCACTTGGAGAATGCTCATCGGTTTCAGACCCCAGGTCTAATTATTGGGGTGATGTGAGTCGCCAATTCAGAAAACATGTCGGTGGTATCGGCGCCATCAGCGCAGTGAAACCCTGTAGTAAAAACTACCGGCACACCTTCAGCTCGCCGCTGACGCTCCCATTCTCCTACCGCATAGAAAACTTCCGGTTGTTGTGCAAGAGCACGTCACGACCGCCAAAATTACGCCGCTGCTTGATTTGCGGTGAGTTGGAGAGGAAGAAAATTTGATATTTCAATTATTTTTTTTTCTGTACAAGTAATTTAACCGAAACGAAAACGGTTGCCTGTTGGCGTTCAGTGAACATTGAAGGTCTAATGTAAAAGGTAATTGACAAAAGTAAAAAGGTAATGCCATGGTCTCTTGAAGTAATCATTGGTAATGAAGTGTAAAAACTCGATCTTTTTTTTTTTTTCGGCGTGGTCTGATAATATTTATTCCGAGCGAATTTAACATCTTCAGTGGCCTGTCTAGACGTTTACAAATATGTCAAGCTGCTAATCTTTGAATTGTAACGCATTATAAATGCTAAACAATATTGTTGTTTTTGTAGTTTTCATGGGGAAAGGGGGGGGGGCGGACAAAAACAGGGAGGGCCATCGGAAGGATCAAAAGATTTCTGAAGTAACAAATGTCAACCAGAAAATATGTTTATATATATTATGCATGAGAATGAGAGGCATGGCAAATGCACAACAAACACACCAGCCTGTCGAAAACAATACCTCAGCAATTTGAGTCGTGAACTGCCTCAATGAGGTGATGAGCCATAATATATCTGCGAATACAGCTGATAACAATACATATACATGATTAATGGAGAGTTCATCTGATCAAAACTTTGGTTTGTTCAGGAACCTGCATGCGAATGAAACAGGGATCGCAACATCTATATATCAACAATACTAGGATCCCATCTTCAGCAGCACTTAGCCTGGTTCCAAAACAACTTCGTGGCCACGTTAAGAAACTGACGTCACGAATAACACACCAAGACTAATCAATAAGCACCAAGGCGTTTATGGGCTGGTTACTGGAACGAAACACAATTCGTCGTTCTTTCTCGGTTTTTGAGATTTGAAGCGAATTCCCGTTATCAGACATATTTTGTGGAGAGACACATCTTGTAGCTAACAGTATAAAAATGTGACGTATACGTCCATTTACATTATATTTCAGCAGCATTGCACGCAAAATTATGAAATTCCTTTCAGACAAACTAAGCTAATAAATTACGACAACGTATTATACTTCCTACATGAAATCTAGAAATCATTAAATTAATTGGTACTGGTCCAGAATTGCCAACCGTATTTAGAATTATTCTTTATTTATATGCGTTAATAAAATTCCATAAAAAAACCAAACCAAATTCGGTTTGAAAGTTGTACATAATACAGCATAGAACAAAAAAAAAACTTGTATTCACTGCCATTTCGCCGGAAAAGAAACAAGTTCCCTCTTCGGTTGCAATGACTTTGACTAGGAAGCGGAAGTCTCCATCCGAAAAGTTTAGTGTCACTAAATAAAAATGACGCAAGCACTAATCGTCGATATATTAAATGTAACTAGTGAGCAAGGCTGTCACCTAACATTTATAAACCAATATTAAATAAACCTGTTTGTGAACGGAGGCGACCACTCCAGATTGGGAGTGCATGAAATCTACACGCACTATGCCTTTTAGCTCTGTTGACCAGACATATGCTAGAACATCTACTAGGGACAGTTCTTCGAACAGCATTATTAAGGTATTTTCAAAGCAGGACGCGCTTTCTGCTGCTACCCACATTGTATGGACGGCAGCCCAGACACGCTCTGGTGGCTGCCGTCAAGGCCTTCGCTGTTGTCTGGCCCTGACCTCCCGAAAACAAGAAAGGGGAGGCCGCAAAAGCGTTAAGGCGAGAAATTAAAGGCTGCTGTTTGTGTGGTTGATATCCTCATTGAAAGCGTACGCGTCCGCTGAAAATGTAACGTGTTTTTAGAAACGTTTCAAAGCGTGCACGATTTTGGACCTGCACAGCACTATCACTTTGTTTGTAGAGCCGTTTACTATGTTCCATGACTCACTCGTTGTCTCTAAGGCTTTACGCCAGAAAACACAGGGACAAAAAGTGAGAGGCTACACAAGAAAAGGCGTACCTTCAACTTATACATTTTTTAAGACTGTTGAAAATTTATAACTTCACACGCTCAAGGGAAAAGCACACAGTTAAATAACAAAAAGAAGCCAGACAACACTAACTCCAAGCTGAGGCTTTGCTGATATACTTTGTGCTTTAACTGGGCGCCTTTCGATTTCACACGTGCAGTTCGCAATGTTTATATCTGTCTTCGAATAAAATTGCTTCTGAAAGTACTCGTCCTGCGTTGCCCCTCACTTTATGTCTCCGCGTATCTTGTCGTAAAACCTCAGTATGTATCGGAACGAACTAGCCCAAATTGCAGTCCTAATTCAGTGGTTTCTTTGTTGCTGACTTGGCTTACCGGCGACGCATGCGGTGAGGAAGCAGGCCGCAGAGCCTGCACAGAGGGCCCTGACAGACATGGTGGCCAGTTCTGACTTCCGCTCTGGACACAGGGCTCCCAGTGCCCCCAGCGTGATACCGAGGGATCCCAGGTTTGAGAAGCCGCACAGTGCGTACGTCGCTATTATCACCGATCGTTCCTGCGGGTTGGGAAAATGTTCGATGGTGAGATACAAATGGAAAGAGCACTGCGCTGAACGACGCAGTAGTGCCGTTTTAAATGAAGACTAGGAAGAGGAAAGGGGGGGGGATATGTTTCTTACGCTTGCTCTGATGCTCATGGCACACGTACCATACCAGTTCAAAGAAACGAACAGGTATGTACGGTTCTGTAGACAAAGGTAGTGATCAGGCGGGCTGGCTTATGTTACACAGAACTTAAACGAAAAACGACTGTGAGAAAAGTACACGAAACCCAGATATCTATAACGCCTTCGTGCAGTCCCCTGTTTTCGTCCGTTATCTCCGGTTTTTTGCACGTGTAGGTACTTTACACCGACAAATAATGAGCGCAATTAGTGAGTTAACAGATATCCTACACTTTGTGAGTTTTCTTCAGAATAGGTACGAAATTTATATTTTAAAGAAGTCAAAAGTATGACACATATACAATGTACAGCATGTGTTTAAATGGATAATACTAGTTGGACAAGTTATGGAGGATGGAAGTACATGAGCGCTGCTGTAGCATTCAAAAATGTATATTCTCCTATTCTCCCCAGCAACATTTTTTCATGGAGTCCTGCTCAAGTCAAAACTGCAATCTACGTTCAAAAATAAGGAGCGAAAAATGATAAAGCTCACAGTATTAGAAAGCTTGAACTATACACATTAGACTCCATACAAGGCTTGTAGTATTCAACTTGACAGCAACTTTCTTGATGGAAATATAAGACATCAGTGGATAAAACCCCATAGAGGTCGGGGGTCTATTTAAACGAGATTACCTTCAAAAGGGAGAAGCAAATTATAATTCAAAACGCGAACAAATTGATTTGGACACTGGAGATCCACAGACCATTCAGAGATAGATAGCCCTGCGCCTTCACTGTGTGCGGCGTATACAACGTCGCACAACTCCTCCTACCGCAACACAAGAGGAGTTCTGTGGCGCTCCGCTTACCTCCAGAACGCTCCTGACCTGGGCGAGCTTGGCGTATGCGATGAATTCATTGGCGAAGGTTTTGATGCCCACGAGTTCGCCCACCACCCTGGAGTCCTTCCAAGGAACACCCATCAGGTACGCCAGGGGTGTGAAGAGCATCGACAGAAGCCACTGCAATCGAAAAATACCGTTCCTTTAGGCCACGGAACAGCTTACAAGGGGGTGGAGAATAGCCTCTAAACGCGCAAAGAATGATCCCAAAGAGGTGAAGCGAATTCGTTTTGAAAGCCGCGATTACACCGCTTATACATACAAAGAGGCAGTGTGCAGACAGTGGCGTAGACAGCAGTTTATTTTGCGGCGGTAGCACTGAAATGTTTATGACATGGGGTGCGGAAGAAACAGGCCTCGGATACTGTCTGCTTCCTTGAAGGGCGATCTTGTTCTATTTGTTATGGAAAATTTGTCTTCAGATATGTTCGATGTAAACATCTCTATGAAGCAAACATACTTTTCAAATACTTGAGACTTGCTGCAGATGATTATGTCACACTTGGCTGCAGAGAAGACATCATCTTCTGTCTATGTATGAGCAGTGTGGCAGCGGCTCTAGTGGCCTATGCGTTCTAAAAGTCATAATAGCGGATCGAGTTCATTCGGGGCCTTTTCTCTCGTTCAGATTGTGTTGCAAGTATAACTGCCGTGTCAATTGTGATGGGCGCATGCTCCAGCGTTTTGCTATCAATGGACGCACGACGACCAATAGCGAGCCATTGCCTTCCGTGCAGCGAGCTAGCAGGGATTTTCTTCCGCCATGCTGGAGGCCATGACTTGCCAATCGCAAACAGTGGTCTTTGCTATCCGACTGCGGTAATACACAGAGTGGGTCGGCTAACTTGTGACCAGACTTAAACGGAGTACAACCAAAGCAGTGTTGGCAAACATAGTTTAGCTGCGTGCCAAGCTGGCCATAATTAACGCAGATTAGTTAAAAAACTTGAAAATGTCCCTCTTGTGCGCAAACCTTCCAGTACGCAAGAAGAGAAAAGCCCCATATGTCATTCTTTAAACGACAGCATTTTCGTCTGATATTTTTAAAGCTTAAAAAAGAACAATATAAAAAATTTAAACAAAACCTTCACAAGCGAGTAGTTAGTTACACAACGTTCTCGATGCTATGCTTTTTATAGAACTCCTCGTGGAAATGCGATAGAGACAGCTATATTTTTCTTAGGCCATCGACACTGCATGTTTATCTCTCCTACGAAGGAATCACAATGCGTATACATTACGCAAGAAAGACGGTGCTCGTTGCAAACACGATATAACCGCATTACCTGCGGATTCGCCTGATGCATGAATAATTTGAATAATACCAGTAAAGCAGGATAGTTAAGGAAGCAAGGAACAAGCTTCAGGCACTGTCTGTAGACAGTCTTTTGTATGATGTAGTAGCGGAGTAACTGCCATATCACACCCTCGGAAAGCAAGGTAAAGTAGTGCGCCACTACCTCACCTCAAACGTTAAGAAGTCGAGCTTTACAATGGAGCCAAACCAGAGCAGAGCGCTGTTGAGGAAAGCGATAAACGCCAAGAAGCCGATCACATTGGCCACAATCTGGCCGATTATGGTCAATCCCACAGTGGTCCCGTTGGACGCTGCTTCCAGGACGTTCTTTTCTTCACTGCATTTAAAGAAAAAATAGAGAGAGACGGAGAGAGTGAAAAATGTGGCGCAGAAATACCTGAACATTTTTGGCACTCACTTAAAAGAATCCGGGACATAGTTCGCGAGAACAAGCAATCGCCAGTTTTTTTTTTGTTTTTTTTCTTCTCAGTGTTAAAGGAACCAGCCAGAGTTTCTGAGACAGAAACTATGGCTGTGTTGACATGGATACGTCATCAAAACTACTATACTTGTGGGAACTCCTCAGTTGGAGCACTATGGGTTAAGTGGTATATTTTGATCTACGTCTGTATCCCTCCGAATCAAAATGCAAAAAAGCGCCGAAGTCGTGTTCCCGATGACAATGTCGCCAAGCTTACATAGTTCCTCTAGGCCAAGTCTAGCGTCAAAGGTGACTGATAGCATTACTTCGCATGCCGTCCTTGCCATTAAGTTATGACATGTATAATTTTAGTAAACAGGTAGCTTCTGGACGTCTAATGCATATAATACGATAAAATGATCAACTGCGGTTCTTAATAACGTTTCTATAGAGTTTGTTTTGTCCACCTCACTGGTTCCCGCATATGGCTACTGACGAAATTTCAGATAATGGTAACTACTTTGGCTTTTTAGCCTCTTTACCTATACTAGTACTGCGAGAGTAAAATCCCTACTTAAATACATGGAAACACGACAAGTAAATAAACCAACCCAGATAATTGTTTCCATTAGAAATGCCGAAAACCGATATATTTGAGGAACGCCGAAAGAATAAGACACGCGTGCGAGGAGGAACGACGTACACTTTCTTTCACAGCGCACGTCGTACGCCGTCCCACATCTATGAAAGTTTACTTTGTCCTTCATCCCACATTCTTTCGGCATTCCTCAACTCTACCAACACGATCGTTATTCTAGAGATACATCTGTAGTAATTATGTTACGAAATTTCATTTACATATGTCCAAGGAGATGGCTTGCAGTACATTTTTAATTGCAAAGATAAACTACACAGATCCGAACGCACATTTTTCAGCCAAAATGTAACGCTGTGGCCCTGACCAGATGCTGAAGTTCGTGGGACACAAGGGTGGCAGACGACAGGGCTAAGGGCACGTGACAGGCGGTCGGCCGAAAAGACACGAGCTGGCACCGGACAGAGCGCGCTGCGCGAGGCTGGAGCCGGGCAGGAAGGATAGAGCCGTTCTGGCTGGTCTGGCCCATGGCGATCCCCGGAGCTGTCCACCAGCGAGGTTCTAACCAGGACTGGAGGGAACGATGAGCCCTGGCCATGCCGGCCTCGGTCATGACGATCCCGAAGTGGTTCCGCAGTAATACTCGTGCTATGATAACCTGGAACAGCAAGCCTATGCAGCGCTGGCTTCGGAGGAACGATCCGCAGGCCTGGACACGGACTCGGACGGCGAGCACTGAACGGCGGGCTACAACGAGGGTCGGCGGGCCCGGACTACCGGCTCTCAAGGACGGGCAACCGGGTAGTACACTAAACACATTCGCTGTCTCCTCGTGGTGTTGTATACGGTCGTCTCCCTGGGAGACAAGAGAAGGTTTACCGATCGGTGGGCGATCATTAATAGAGCGAGAATTCCACAAAGACCAGAAATGGCGCATCCAACGTGGGTCCCGGTCGCTATATCTCTGTTTCTAGCCGTACCCAGGTTGTTCCAGGGATTCGTTGAGCGGTTTTTCACTAAAGCTATCGATGCCCGTTAAAACAAAGTCTGTTGGAACCTTGGCGACTTGTCTCACAGAAGAGCTCAGCAGGTGTCTCCTCGAATCAAGTACCGAAAAGATTCGAAGGACAATCTTGTGGACGCGCTCTCTCGAGCAACCCGGAATAGCTGTTGGGAGGAGGTGATGCAACCCTGGGGTTTGCGAAGAGTGCGGGTAGGATGCAAGTAAATCGTCTACGGAGGCAGAGGAGAGGAACCGCATGTTCGCTGGAAGGCAGTATTACGACTGGCAGGAGGGGAAACAGCCAAGACTCGGTGCAGATTTAGCATTTGTTTTTATTAGGGTTTGGGACTTAGAATTTAAGAAGGGAAGACAGATTTAGGAGGTAGGCTTGGGGTGATGCGGTGAGCAATTAAGCGCTTGTCAAAGCCCAGGGTGCAGATGGGTTTCTGTCAGCGGGTGTCGGAAAAATTGCGGGAATAGCAGTTGACACCGGGAACGTTCGCGGACGAGATTGCTAGCGGGGGGGTACCTCAAAGAACACCACAAGTTTCAAAATGAACCGTCTTGGGAGGTCCATTATACCTTGAAATGTCTGTTTTAAATATAAGGGCCCGCAAACAACGCCGGGCAAGAAAGAATCAAATGGAGATGCCAAGTAAAGAAACTCACCTTTTGGGCATCACAATATTCGCCAAATTTGTTTTGCTCTCCTCCACTTCAGGGTAGAGGAGCTTTGAAAAGGCCAGCGCAGCCGGTGCGCTCATGATGGACGCTGTAAGCAAGTGACTCGGGCTAACCTGAAGGGAGTGACAGGGAATGGAAAATGAGTCAAACTGTTTTCCGTTACTAAGTTTGCAAACTTCTTAGGAAGTTTGTAAACTAAGAACAAAACGTGCTTACCCCGAAGCCGATGTAGGCCGCCATGACACTACCGGCGATGGTTGCAAAGCCTCCAGTCATGACTGTATGCAACTCAGACTTTGTCATAATAGGCAGAAATGGACGGATCACCAGAGGAGCTTCGGTCTGCAATAGAATATGAAGTTTCTACACACAAAAGAGATCTCGTACATGCATTCTTTGAGTTTTGTAATAAACAGCGTGTGGCTGGAATCTGTTATATATTTCCTATTAAATCTTCGTTGTTTACCAGTCACTAAACGTACATCAATCGTTTATACGTTCCCTTACTCTTTCCGGGTTACTCTCAAGCTTGCAAGATTATGACGTGCCTGTTCTCAGAAAATTGTTTTTAAACTATAGATATACCGGGTGTTTTTCTTTTATTCTTACATATCTGTTAAAAAAAAGCCATGGAAGTTACACGTACGCGGTTTGTGCGAGAGAGTTGTACGATCAGGCGGACATTATGGGGGTAGGAAAACTTCGTGATGAGTCGGCTAATTGAATAAAATTCGTTAATTAATTTCTTAATTACTGAAAATAGTCCCACGGTTCCAATTAAAAATTTGCTGAGCGTCGTCCAAAACCCTTAAGTCAGTAATTTTTAGCAAAACATTGAGCGCTTGAAAAGCTCAACAGTGCACTGAATTTACATCTGTGGAGCAGGTACAAGGCTGGGGCTGTGCAAGAGGCGAAAAAATCGCGCGGGGGTGTTTCAGAGAACTCAGGCCAAATCCCTCCTTATCGCAACTTATCTTAACGAAAAAAGGGTTGTGTCGTTTTGGTCCTGGGCCGAGGGCCCATTTCGGAAAATTATTTAATTCGGGGATAATTAACATGTTAATTATTTTTGCGCAATTAACTTTTTCATTATTGTGTTTTAGGGCATGGTTTCAATTAGAAAATTTCTCAGTATCATCAAAAATACACTAAATCAACAAATTGCAGAACGATAGAAGGCACGCGAAGCATTTTACGGCTTTCTGAAAAAAAATGCACAAATTCGCCGGGCTTTTAAGTTTCGGTTTTCTATCGAAGCGCATCTCGACCCCGGCGGCACCGCGCCCCGTGGAGAGATATTACATCAAACCTCTGCTGCGTCGTGCCATGAAGGCGCAGCAGAGGTTGGATGCACTATCTCTCCACGGGGCGCGGCGCCGCAGGGGCCGAGATGCGCTCCGATAGCAAACTGAAACTTAAAGGGGCACTGACACATCAAAATCATATTTTATTTTACTATCCGAAACGATTGCAAACGATGCCTGGACATTACCCTCAAAATTTGAAACTTGGGAATTCAGTATTTCTGAATTAAAAAAAACTATTTCCAAATGCCGAATTTGAAGTTCCCGCGCGATCCGCGCCAGTGCAGTGAGTCAAATTTTGCGGTCTCCTGCGACTTGACTTTCTTTCGGACCTCCGCCCCACGCTGTGAAGCTGAGCGCCGTTGCTACCGCGGCCCGAAGCGAGGAGGAGGCGAGCAGGCGGGATAGAAGGGTGCCGGCGCGGGAAAAAAACCGGTTTCGTCCCCGACTCGCCGATAATCCTCTGCTCGAGCGCCGCCAAGTTTTCCGAGGGAGCATACAAATCCAGGAAGCGACATCACACCGAAATCTGATTTTCGGTATTTCAAAAAGAAAGGCCGTAGTGCGTTCGCAATTGCGTTAAAAAACACGTTTTACGATTGCCGTTATTAAATGTTATAGAAAGGTCGCCTACAAAGCTTCTAAATTTCCTGATTTTTGACGTCACCGATCAAAAGAAGCAAGGAGGTGAGCGCGGGAAATATAAACGCCAAAAATAAAAAGGCGCGCGCGCGCGCGGGGAAATTTTTTTTCGCGATGCGGTTTTTTTTGCGTGTTTATGACTACAACTTGCATCGTTTTAGACAATAAAAAAGAATACGACCTTTGGGGTGTCAGTGCCCCTTTAAAAGCCCGGCAAATCTGTGCGGTTTTTCAAAAAGGCGTAAAATGATGCGCGTGCCTTCTATCATTTTGCGATTTGTTGATTTACTGTTTTTTGACGATGCTGAGAAATTTTCTAATTGAGACCATGCCGTTAAACATAATATTTAAAATGTTAATTACGCAAAAATAATTATCATGTTAATTATCCCGGACTTTAATAATTTATCTAAGTGAGCCCCTGGCCCGGGACCAAAACGACACAAGCCTTTTTTTTTTGCGATGAGTAATTGTCGCAGGAGTGATTTGGCTTGAGTTCTCTGAAACACCCTGTATATATATATATATATATATATATATATATATATATATATATATATATATATATATATATATATATATATATATATATATATATATATATATATAAATATATATATATATATATATATATATATATATATATGAAAGAAAACGCACCTGAGACGGTTGTTGGAGTTTTTAAAATATATTATTGGTAATGTTGGTTATATACAGGGTGTTTCAGAGAACTCAAGCCAAATCACGTTTTCAAAAACCCGCCGAAAGCCAAAAAACGGCTCCGCCGTTTTTTGGCTTTCGGCGGGTTTTTGAAAACTTAAATTCTTTGATTCATTGGATTAAGTATGGTTCATTCATCTGCACATATTCGTTTACATCCTTCTTGAAGACCACGTACGATGGTGTGAAGTGCCCGTGTTACATATATATATATATATATATATATATATATATATATATATACATACAAGTCACAAATGCGTACTGTCGGAGTTACTAATTCGAAGTTTATTACGACGTTTCGAGCGGGGATCGCTCTTCATCAGGTGACGAGTGTACAGCGGTCCCCGCTCGAAACGTCGTAATAAACTTCGAATTAGTAACTCCGACAGTACGCATGTTTGACTTATTAACGTTTCCCGGTCCATTGTTTTTATATTTACCTTACTTCACCTATATATATAGGGTGTTTTTTTTTTAGCTGCACCAAATTTTCAAAGAAAGGGGACGTGAGATAGTGTAATTTAAGCCCTGGAAAAGTATTAATGGCCATGGCGGCCACTAAAGAAAGGTGAAATTAGGTCATTCGTTAGCTAATAAACTAAAATTTTTTAACTAACTTCTTGATTTTTTACTTGAGGGCACATAATGTGTTTAGAGAATTGAAGCTCGACCTCAATATGGTCTAGCCCTGTCATCAAAGTTGGATTAAAAAATTTGTAGTAGGTTTCAAGAAGTTTCACTTTGTACGGCGTCAAACCGAAACTAAGCGAGGAAGAGCGCCGGTAAAGTTTTCGCTCGGCCCTTTCGGGCATGCAATTTGTTATTATCGCGGCCGGCTCCACTTGCTTAGGCGAAGCTAGCTGCGATAACGACAATCCACGGCGGCCGGAAGGGCGGTGAGATATCTTTACCGGCGCTCTTTCTCGTTTAGTTACGGTTTGACGCCGTGTCCCAAAGTGACATTTCTTGACCTCGTAAAACCTACTACAAATTTTTTAACCAAACTTTGATGGTGTGGAGCTTTAATTCTCTATATACATTATGTGCCCTTAAGCAAAATATTAAGAAAATGCTTTCTAGTGTCCGCCATGGCCATTAACACTTCCCCAGGGCTTAAATTGCTCTATCTCACGTTCCTTCTTTTTTTTTTTTAAATTTGGTGCAGCTAAAAAAAAACACCCTATATATATATATATACCGGGTGTTTCTGCGAAGACTTTCAAAAATCCTAAAAATTAAAGCGTCAAAAAAAAAAAAAAACTTTCTTCGCGAAGAAACTACCAGCCACGGCGGACGTCAGGAATAGCCAAAACATAGTAATTAGCCAACTAATTAATTAAAATTTGTTAATTAACTTTTTCATTAGTGGAAATAGACATATGTTTCTAATTAGAAAGTTGCTGAGCGTTATCGAAAACCACTAAATCAGTCATTTTCAAAAAGACTTTCGGCGCGTGAGAAGCGTAGTATTGTACTAAAGTTACCACTCGTGGAGCAGGTACAAGGCTGGGGCTAGATAAGAGACGGAAAAATCGCGCGGGCGCCTTATCGCAACCGCTAGCTTTGTACCTGCTCAAAGAGCGGTAACTTCAGTGCACTACTACGCTTCTGACGCGCTCAAAGTCTTTCTGAAAACGACTGATTTAGTGCTTTTCAATAACGCTCAGCAACTTTCTAATTGGAACCATATGTCTATTTCCCCTAATTAAAAAGTTAATTAACACATTTTAATTAATTAGCTGGCTAATTAGTATGTTTTTGGCAATCCCTGACGTTCGCCGTGGCTGGTAGTTTGTTTCCGAAGACAGTTTCTTCTTTTTTGGAACGCCCTAATTTTTAGGATTTCTGAAAGTCTTCGCAAAAACACCCGGTATATATATATATATATATACAACACGGGCACTTCGCACCATCGTACGTGGTCTCCGAGGAGGATATCAACAAATATGTGCAGATGAATGAACCGTACTTAATCCAATGATCCAAAGAATCAAAGGTTCCTGAAAACATATATATATCTATAGACCTTTTCCACGAGGGCGCCGCCATCTTGAATTGTCGTCACTTCCAGTATGGGCGACGACAAAATAGTAAAACGTTTCAACCTGTAACTAGTAAAAAAATAGAGGCGAGCCAAAACGAGAATGTGTGACGGTTAGGCTTATATCCTAAATGTCTTCTATTGGCGTGGTGACGGCAAAGTAATGTTTTCGCCCATACTGGAAGTGACGACAATCCAAGATGGCGGCGCCCTTGTGGAAAAGGTCTATATATTGTCACGGGTGGTGACCAAACAAAAAAACAGGAAATAAACAGAAAGAAATAAACGTTTAATGTGGCGAACTTGTGCCAAAAAAAATAAAGAAGGAAACAGAAGAAAGCAGAGCGTCGCGGGCGTCGAAGTCGGCGTGTCAGCAGAATCGAGCGCTAGGGCGAGACTGACTCGACAAGGTCGCGGGCGGCCTCTTATCTAGAGTGCGCCGCTATCTCGAAGATTCGGCGAAAGCGGTTCGAGCGTCGCGTGATCGGGGCGAGAATGAACACGCACTTTCTAGAAAACAAAAGCAGGGATAAATGATAGAAGTTAAGTGCGGTACATGAATAAACGGGAACTTTCTGGAGGACCGTGACCGAGCGTTGCTTTCTCAGCCTTGCGCGCGGCATTACTCCCCC